TTGAGTGGAGGTTATCCTGGTGATTTATTTAAGCTAGTCGACCATAAGATATCTTCGGTGGTAGAAGCATATTCGACTAAATAGTCATTTATATGAAACCAATCCTTCTAAGTGTTCACCAAATTGAGATTGGAATCTGAGCTCCCATTACCTTCGGTCACTTCTTTTATAGAGGGATCCAATAATCTATATCATTGTTTCTAATCCTTATGAGGTGTGGGAACGATGGAGTCAGTCTCAAAAACCACCATTTTGACTATTTCACCTCCTATCAGTTTTGTCATCTTACACAGAATTTTCATCCAAACTTCTCTCAAAATATTCCCTAGAAGTTTCCCTCTTAGCATAGTATGTTGTGGGAGAGGGTGACTGATGAAATTGTCAACTCCCCTTCCCTCTCTCTAATAAAGAAGAGATGCTCGAATTTGACGGTCACGTAAACTCTTACATAGAGGGACGCTTAAAAGGTCCACTAGTCTCCGATTGAATGAAAGGAGAAGGCGCCTATCTCGAACAACCTAAACTCACCAGAGCATGTTTCCATTAAATTAAAACTAATTCACCACTAACTTTTTTCTAAATAGCTATAAAATTTTTTATGTCTGAGTGAATAATGTCCAGACATGGATTTCGTCTCCCCGTCCACCCGTACGGGACAATACCCTCTATTCTCTCATGCATATATATGGTAAGAGAGCCACCCACTATTTTCCTTTTCCTCGACTCCTACTTTGCGAATTCGATGGCCTCTTCTAATATTTATTGCTCCTTCACATCATCATAGGTGGCTCATAGCTGCGGTGTAATTGAGCCATACTCACTAGGGCTTAACCCTCATCTTCTCATAATAGCCTTCGATCCTACTTGTCGAGATTCTCCACTTATTGCAGCTACCTACCATAAGCTATAATTTCCAATCCTTGATCTTTTCATATAACGTACCCATTTGATTCAACCTTAAAGGAAAATATATGAGAGAATAAATTTTGCAGCCATGAAACATCCATCTGGTGGAGGTAAACAACACAGGTCATCACCACTATAATAAAGTTTGGCTTAAACTAGGTCAATATGGCTCTACAGTGGTCAAAGATTGACTATAAATCTATAAAAAATGGCAGACATAGCCAAAGAAAAACTAAACTCAATAAATGACCATGGCAAGGTACTCGATTCCACAAACATCCACATCTACTTGATGAAGAAGAACACGAATTTTGTACACACACATGTTGTTAGAAGCTGAATGTTGAATTTGATCAAGATAGATCTCTCAATCGACCTAAACAACAAAATATTTGGAAGGAATATTAGGAACCCATAGAGCACTGCTAAAGATCAAACCAATGAGAAACGAAAGGCTTTCACAAACTCTTAGCTCAACTTTATACATAGAAAAGACAAGAAAGTCAAAACAACTCAAAATCGTACATCAGACTCTGCAAATACATCACATCAAAGTGGAAATTTAGGATTGATGATGATTAATTTTTTTTAAAGTTGGGAAAAGGTCAAAAATTTCATTTATAATAAAAAAATATTTTACAATGGGGTCATCCACCGCCTCGGGCAAGACTAGACCCCGAATCATCAAACTCATTTACAACCCACGCTCTTCAAATTTATATTTTTTGATTCTCACCTCATTCATCTGGACATAGAAATCATTTTAGATTCCCAAACTTCTATCAGTTCACCTTGAAAACTAATCGCCTTAGCTCTGGGAGTCTCCATCTCAGCATAACAGGAAGCCAACATCAACTAAATGTCTTAAATAACAGCCTCTCACAGAAGGTCAGTTACCTAAGAGAAGAATTCAATGATCATGTCCATACAATAAGCCAAACAATCGTATGAGTTTGGTCTGCCATTTATTTCCCTCTCAGGATCAACTGAAGGAGGTGGTAGGGTGCATGCCACTTCAACCGGCGCATGAGCAGAAGGACAACCGGCACCTCTGGTCCGAGAAGCTGCCTGATCCCTGCGAAGAAAGAGGCGATGGTTTCCGTAGCCTCATCTACAACTTTAAAGTTCAAGCCATTATAAAAAAATGGAGAACCAAATTAAAGAACCTTCAAGTTACCAATCATTCATTCCATCTGTGACATACGAAGACTTCCACTAACAAGTGGTTTAACATTACAATAAACAATCGTTATGCTGAAGTCTGGAGTTGGGTTCCTTCCAACGGTGGCACATCATCTAAAACGGCTTCTCCGACCAACGACTGAGTCAAGGTGCTTTTTGGTGGAAGAGATTGCACAGTAATTTGAGCTTGTCGTAGCTCGTCAGGTTGCAACTGTGTTGCTTGTTGGATGATTTGTTCAAGAGCCAGAGCATATGTAGCTGTGATACACATTCTCTTATGGTTTTTCATTCGCAAGAAGAGTAGTGAATTAGAAGTCTCTCCATTCTCTTCTACACTTTGTATCCTCAACATTGAATGCTTTACTAGCTTGGACCCCTCGCGCTTGGTCCCTTTCGTGGACCCTTTATGGTCGATCATTTTCCTCTCTTCTCACTGTCTCATCTCGATCAGCCTACCCTCTTTGTTCATTTTTTTTTTCTTCAAGACGAAACCAAAACTTTGATATTTCTTCCTCTTCTCTCTCCAAGAAGAGTAGTTCTTTGTAGTAGGAAGCTTCAGGCTTTAATTAGTGCTTCCTCACTCACAAGCTTCTTATCAACTGACTTCCTTATCCACTACAATAAACGACTGAAGGATGAGAAAACTTCCAAAGTGAGGAATGAAAGCATTGATCGTGCTCTATTTGTTAGGAAACAAACAGGAATCTTAGGTGTATAACTATTGAATGTACTTTTTATTCATTATGAAAAAAATTGTTTCATTTAATTCTCTCATTCTTATTTTGGTTATCATTCTCAAAGAAGTATAAAAATTGTGAAACTAATTATATACATCTGACATGTAGTTTCACGACTCTCATGGAGATCCAACAGATAGTGCAAAGAGAGTAGCAAAAGGCTGAGCAATCTGGTATCGTTGCAGTTGAGCAAATTCTAGCACGACCGAGCATTCACCCATCGAGCATTCATCTGTTCAAGGAGCGCCACAAACAAATAAATGGCTTAATTGACACAAAGAGTGTTCTCAAGAACAACTGTCGCGTATTGAGAAATCTCCTAAATTGATACATCAACTAAAAGTAGATTGCTTGTCAATTTATGATACCGTGCCCTCGGCCTGATGGAGCCTTCACATTTGATTCCCTCAGAAAAATGGCGACTGAGGAAAGTTCATTTGGTCAAATGACTTTTTGGCCAACTAAATGAATACCAAATGATTAAGCCAAGTAGTTACATATATGGAACGTCTCCTAAGACAGTTAGAAACGTGAAACGACACCAACAACAGTTATAGGTCAAAATATGCCTAGATCGATTATGAATATGTAAAGTTATAATGGCTCATAAATAATTCTAATGTTCCTATTAAATGAGAAACAATCATGTAATTTATTAGAACTCGTCCATGACTTAAAAATAGGTGTGTTTTTCCTACAGAATGAACCACTGGAATTATTCCAAGAGAATTAATGCTATTTGTGATTTATGCTTTCACCTCTTTTCCCTTTTTCCTGTCATCTGACCAATGTTTTATTCCTTGGGCATGACCAAAATAACATTTTGGCATTCAACAATTAAGAAAATGTTTTGTTGTTATAAATTTCATTACATTGAAAAGATGTAAATTTTAACCTTCACTATCTACGTTTTTTTTTAATTTAGAAATTTTTATAAAATCTTTATCATTATTAATATAATTCAAGATAGTGTTCATTAAATAACGACGATAAATCCATAATATAAAATTTAATTGAAATGTCTGAAGGTCAGAATCGAAATATTAGAGAGGGTTCTCAAGCTATAAGAAAATAATTTATATTAAATTTTCTAATAGAATTCATCGTTAAGAGAAAATCATGAAAGTTCTTTATGCTTGTGTTGATGTTAACTACTTGTTTTCACATTTAGCTGTTGGAAGTTTAGGAAACAAGAAAAACATGAGATTAATAAATGATAAGCAAGATAGGGTTGATCACAACAAGGCCTTGAAAAAACACGTGCTTTTTTTCAGAATAAAAAGGGTTAAGAAAATATTACAATAGGATACGAACATTCGTAGAAAAAATGGTGGTATTAATGAAAAATGGAAAGCAGCCATATGGTTAGGAGGGATTTTTATGTTTAGTGGATTTTGTGAAATTATTTTCTTTTACACACTCGATTGATCTTTTTAGTATATGTGATGAGGTACAAATTAAAAGAAAATTCAAAAATTATTTTTTCACAAATAACCAAATATGATTAAAAAAAATAATAAAACTATGCTTTTTTGAAAGCACCTTTCTGTACTAAAAAATAAGTTTCCCTGCCATTCTCTATGGACCGATCACCATCATATTGAGAGTAGCCCTGAACCAAAGTTTTATATAGTTAACTTAATAGTTAAGGAAAGCAGCAACTAAATTTCGTTGACAGCCTAGTAAAACGTTTTCAACCGAATTAATTTTTGGACGAATTGAAAGGATTTATTCGATTATTAGCTTCGGTTTGAGTTTGAATCGACTTTTAACTTTAAAAGTTGTGTACACGTAAAAGTCTGAGTTTCGAGTTAAATTCGATTCCATGTTGACTAATATATACGTCGTGTTTCTTGACCAATCCAAACGAACAAAGAACAGAAAAGTGAGATTAACAACTTAATAATTAAACCAATAATGAAAACAAGAGAAAAAGAAACCACAGCTTTGTCATTCCACTGGATTAAATAACAAAATATCCGCCCACTTTCAACTTGTAATCGACGCATTGTTGGGATAATTACAAATATAAAAAATAACCGAAACAAAAACAGAAAAGTGAAATTAACAGACTAAATAATTGACTGATACAAAGCAGCAGAATAAGATGAAAAAACAGGGCATCTTATTTAGCATTAGATCAGAATTTATGATTTAACATAGAAAGTTGTGAAATATGAATAACGCTTAGTTTTATTTATTCGAATTCACTCCAGCTTCGTTCCACACAATTGCAACATATTCAACATCAGAATAAAATACTAAAAAAATTACTGTAAACAAAGTTAAAATTAACTCCTTAACACCACCATCGCTCCCACCATCACCTCACCATCGCAAAACAATAAAGAAAAACACAACAAAAAGAAAAAATCGGTCATTTAACCTTTGATGAGCAGCTGAAGTTAGAAAAGTCGGATCCTGTGGATAGAGCTGGCCCGGTGGTATAAGACCAAAATACGGTGCAGATCTTGAGGAAGGGGAACAACAAGGATTAGAAGGGGTGGTCGGAGATGGTGGTGAAGGATGATGTGGCGGCGGTGGGCAGTAAGGCTGTGCAGGCGATGGTGGAAGGATTGGCGGAGGTGGCGATGGCGATGGCGGTGCGATGGCGGTGGCGTTGGTGGTGGGTAGTACTCTGGCGTTGTGGGTGGTGGGGGAGGGTAATTCTCTTGTTGGGGTGGTGGAGGGATTGGGTTTGTACAGGGACTGCCGCAAGGCGAGCAAGTGCACTTTTGCGATGAATCCTGGGATGTTGCATCTCTGATGAACAGAATGGAAGCCAGAAGGATAAGAAGGACAATCCTCCGATGCATGGTTGTTTAAATTTTTTTTGTAGGAGAAGCAAATTTGATGAGCAGTTGATTCTGCTTTCCCCCCCACCTTTTCTTTCTTCCGGCTATTGCTGTTTGCGAGAGATAGAGATGGGAACGGAAGATGTGTATTTGGGGGCGTGGGATAATAGAATAAAGGAGGCGTCGGTGTTAATGAATGGGACCATATTTTTTTGTTTTTTAATTTGGTTGTTCTGGTGTGCATTGGCCAGCCAATATAGATCGAAGTTTCTCACAATTTTAAGTTTAACAGTTTTAATAAATTTATCTTGTAAACATTATTAGTAGGGAGAGAACGTTAAATCGGCCATTGCTTCTAGAAGCTTGGACAACAATCATAACTTGTTATGGGCCCATAACGCTTGAATGAATTGGCAAAAAAATTGTTTCATGACCGTCTAAACTTATAGAATCTTTAGATTTATGTAAGGCTGAATAGTTCTGGTGAACAGTAGACATTCCAAAAAATTATTGATAGCGGTTGGATGAAACGATTTGCTTATTTTAAATGACCTCTCAAGTTTAGGTATTTCTTGCTAGGTGTACATAAAAAAGGGTGTCAAAACGAATCGTAAAGATGACTTGCGGTTGGCAAACATTCGATATTGACTAAACAACATCCATCATTCATGGATGACTGATAATCGTACAAGTAGTCGACAACATTAACCTCACTCGAAGGAGTGACAAACCTCCAGGGAATCTAGGGCTTATCATTAGTCCAGCAGCTGTCCGATCTCACAGTTGCCTGATCACTTAGTCACCCGGCTTCACAGCAGCCTGGTCTCAAGTTTAGTGGCCATGTACATGGACCGCTAAAATCTTACTTATGTGCTAATTGAAATATCCCCAAGGTGTCCTTGAGTTTTAAAAGCCTAATATGTAATTGTACGATGATCTGTTCTTCTAAATAGAGGATTATTCCATTCTTCTAAATAGAGGACTATTTGATGAATAAAATAAAAAATTATTGCTCTTCATTACTGGGCTATTGCCCTCTTTCTCTCTCTCTCTCTCTCCTCCTCAACCACTCTATTCCTTAAGCATGCCTTCTCGACAAATACAGATTCAGCATCCAAAAAGGATCAGTGAGCGTGGAGTCATGTCGTCAACTTGAAGAGAGGTACGATGATCTACCAAGGAGCAATGGCCAAAAAGAAACCACAACTATACAACATTAACCGTAGATCTGACGTTGTCCCAACACCCTAGAGGCAAGAATGACCCTCGACAAAACTTCTAGAAGGGTACTAGGACAAGGGAACTATGCAACCTAACGACTATAGAGAGGAGAAGAAATTTCCTGCCAATCACATTCATCGATGAAAATCTCTCGCAACTGAAACTACAACGAAGCCTTAGTCATCACCAAGATAACCAATAACTTCTTAGTAAAATAAATTCTCATTGACACAGGCAGCTCTGTGAACATCTTATTCAAATTGGAATTCTTTAAACTCAATATGGGGCCGAAGAGTTGGTAGCACCGGACGATCCAATTTGTGGTTTTTTAGGTGGACAAAAGGAGGCCCTGGGCATACTACCCCTGACGGTTACCTAGAGTGAATGGGAAAGGTAGTTCATAGAAACAGAGGATTTCCTAGTAGTGGACATACCACCAACATACAATGCCATCTTCAGCCAACCACGCTTGAATAATTTTAGAGTTGTCGTAACTACTTACCAAGTGGTAGTAAAATTCCATGAGGACAGTGAAGTGAACACAATCAGGGGAGATCTTGATCATTCACGAGCTGCCAAATTAGGGCTGCTGGGAGCATCAAGTGAGAGCCGCTGAGCCTCCAGAATCAAGAGCCGTAAAATCTTTATCTGCATAGACTAACTCGATTAATCTTTTCTAGTGAGCGTCAACTTTGATGCAGGATACCAAGGACTATAAATCCAAGCTCATAGAGACTATCAACGCTAGTTCACATAGTCCATCGTTAAGATGCCAATGAGACCAGCTGATGTAGCATGCCACAAACTAAACGTGAACCCAGAATCAAATTGATCAAGTAGAAGGCAACAAATTTGGTAACTATGTTGGTAGCACCCATCAAGGAAGAGGTTTGAAGTTTCAAGAAGCAGGATTAATCTGGGAAGTACAATACCCAACTTGGCTCTCAAGTTTTTTCATTGTCTAGCAGGCTAACGGGAAATGGTGGATTTGCATCAACTTTACCAAAATTTAATGACACTTGGTATTATGATTGCTATCAGTTACCAAGAATAGACAGCCTCAGTGATCAGTTTCCTAAACGCCTACCAGATCAAAATGATCACCGAGAAGATCACATTCATTGCTACTGAAGGCATGTTTCTTATGATGTAATGTTTTTTGGGCTTAAGAATGATGGGGCAAAGTACCAACTCCTGATTGATGCAAATTTTTAAACTCAACAGGGAAAAAATAATGAGTTCTACATTAAAAAAATCCTTGCAAAAATTGGTAAAATAGACCTTTCAAACCTTTAAAAATCACAATATGACACTGAACCTCCTGATGTGTACATTCAGAGCCTCGACCAACAAATTTTTAGTCCATCTCCTGATCATAGATAAAATAAATGCATACCCAGACCAACTCAAGGCTCTCATTAACATGTTGCCCTAGCAGAATAAATGAGAAGTACAAAAGTTAACTGGTCGGTTCACGACTCTAAACCTATTCATCTCAACCCTAGGTGAAAAGTGCGTAGTGTTGTTCATAACTCTCTGAATGACTGAAAGTTTCCGCTAGATAGATATTGTCAACGAGCCTTCCAGAGCCCTGATGTTTCTTTGACTTCACCATTGCTCCTCCAAAACCCAAGATCAAATGAGGAACTCTCTCTGTACCTTGAAGTAGGCGTTGAAACAATTAACGCCATGTTGGTTTGGGAGGAACTAAGGAAGCAATTCTCAGTCTACAACACCAACCTCATTGTTCAAGGAGCGCCGATCAAGCATTTGATTATATAAAAGCTAACCTTTACATTAATATTGTTAGCTACCAACTTGCGACCTTACTTCCAAACAGACCCCAATCAGATAATTATTGTTAAACCACTAAAGTTAATTCTTGAATGACTTAAACATTGCAATTAGTCGCTGAAATGGGGAGTACAACTCAGTGAATTTTATAACACGTACGTTCCTTGAACGATGATAAAAGGCTGGGCAGTCATAAATTTCTTAGCTAATATTTGGAGCATGGGAATTTGAACAAAGTATGCCCAGATGAATGTTTGGAGTGGATCCTCTACAAGGATGGTGCCTCAAAGAAGACCAGAGCATGGCTAGGATTAGCCATGAGATGTCCGATATAAGAGCAGCACAAATATAACTCCATGTCAGAGGAATTTGAGGTAACAAACAATACAAAGCATTGATCGTTGGCCTATGCTTGACCCATGAGTCTGCTACCCATATTCTCATGATAAAGTCAAACTCCCAAGATGATATGTTTCAAATAAAAGGAGAGTTTGAGGTAAACGTGAAGGTGATGTTGTATTACTACCACAAAGCCAAAGAGGAGAGCTGAATGTTCACGAAATTTTAAATTGAAGATATCAACAGAGAAGAAAATCAAATAGTTTATTTGCTATGCAGCTGCGATTGTTTAGGAAGTGGTTAATCACATATACTCAGCCGATCAGTAGTTGAAGAGCTCGAATAGATGGTGGTAGAAAGGGAAACTGTTGCAAGTTGGGTTGACCCCTACATTAAGTTCCTGCAGACGGCAAAAATCACGAAGAAAATCTCAAACCCTTGGATGTTTAGAAACAACACCTCCCAGTATCTGCTAACAGAAGGAATGCACTTCCAAGAGTTGACAACATTAATATAGTTATGGTGCGTTAGAGAAAGTGAGGTGAAGGACATCCTCTAGAAGATTCACTCTAGGGAATGTGAGAGTCGCTCCAGAGGAAAATTTTGGAGCACTATATCCAATAATAGGGGTACTTTTGGCTGACACTACCAAGAGAAGTTGAAGAGTTTACAAGCAATGAGGGAAATGCCAGAAATACAGCGAGTTAAAACATCGACTGAGTTATAAATTGCAACCATTCTCTAGTCTATGGCCCTTTGATGTATGGGGTCTAGACATTTGGGACCGTTCCCACCTTCTAAAGAGAAAAACCGCTTCATCATGCTAGCCATTGACTACTTGCCAAATTAGATCAAAGCTAAAGCCCTTGCATGAATCATCACAAATGTGGCCTGGAAACATTTTTAGACCAATCTAATCTGCCGATATGGTCTACCATTAGTAATCTTCAATTATAATGGGGACACAATTCATGGTATAATAGGTTTGGAACTTCTACCAAGTTCAAAGCATTTATCTCATGTTCACCTTGGTCCATCGCCCACAAGCAAACAAAAAAGCCGAAACAACCAATAAGATCTTCCTCAACTTCCTAAGAAAGAAGCTATAAACTGAAAAAAGGAAATTTGGCAGAAATCCTCCCACCTGTACTATGATTATCCATACATCCTTTGCAACTGTGACCAGCAAAAAACCTTTCCTACTCTTGCATGGAATGGAGGCCATGCTACAAGTTGAGTATGACCACTGCAACTAAAGGTTCATGCAACAACAACATTCGACGAGGGGGACCTCAGAGATTAGCTGAAGGGAAACGATTATGCAGAATCATTCATATTATAACACATGGAAAAAATTGAAGAGGAATCAACCTTATGAAGAAAGAATTCATTAGGAGGACCGCACTTTATTACAACCTACACGTTCGAGAGAAGGCCTCTTTAAGAGACTTGGTACTAAAGTAGGTTGACCTTGTAGTATGGGGATAAGCCATAGGATAAATATAGCGTACTATACATTATCAATCATCAATTAGGATGCAAAGTCTACAAATTGAAAACAAACACAAGAAATGATGCCCATCAAACATGAAGTGGAGACGATCCGAAGAAGATTTTTTTTTGTAAACTTTGTATTGTAAAGACATTATTGAATAAGAAAGGTTCAATAAAACATATTTCTATGACTTATAAGTTTTTTTTATCATTCCAAATAGTAAAGCATAACAATTATAAACATCACCTTCACTGATGACACAACAAATTTTCTAAAGATAGATGCTTGAGGACTTGATAATCAATGGACTAAAAGACTACCAGGTGTGGAAGACTACTGATCTTGGTGCCACGATTGCCCACATGTTGAAGATTGCCAGTCTTTGCAACAAGATT